CAAAAATACACAGAACACAGAGGGGCTTTTTTTTGCATAGAGACCCCTTTCTAGGGTTAAGCAAACAATAAAAGACCTCCCATCCCATCCCACCTTATCACACCATTTCGTCTACTAAACATCACAGGGCAACACAATACTTCAGAGGGCTTCAGCCACACTTTTTCACCACAAGTAGTTGTGTTCATGCCAGCTTTCTTTTCAAATTACTGCTTTGCTTAAGACCTCCTTTAAAATCTAGATTTCAAACACCACTTACATTTTTTATACCAGAGATTGAGCTACTCTTTCCCAAAGAAGCCAGAGCTCCCTTGTTCAAGGGGGACACAGAAAGAGCCTCCTCAAAGACTGAGTAAATACAGTTGGGCATCCCCTGGGCAACATTTCTTGTAAACAGCTAATCTTCCCAACCCAAAAGCATTGCTTTACAACATTTAAGCAATGTTTCTGACATGAAATAATATAACCCTTATTTTAAAAAGCTGTTTCTTGTTTAAAAGGAAAGTGCGAGTACATGTGAAAATATACCTATCAAAAATAAACAGAGATCTCAAGAGTCCAAGGGAATTCACCCCCATGTTGGCATGTGTATCACACTTCCTAAACAGTAAGCAAAAGCAACTGCAATTGTGGGGAGACACACATCTGCTTCTCACTATTCTTTGCACTGATGAACCCACGCAGTCAAGGTCCATTTCTGAGGTTACTTTTCTGAAGAAATGAATGGGTGTGCACACATCTTAAGATATGAATGGACACGTGTGTAAATAAAGTGTTTTTGATACCAATGAAATAAGACACTTATGCTCCAAATGTAGAGGGAAGACACTCTCAATTTTATTTTTGATTCATAGTTGATAAAATGATATAAGAGGAGGGAGCAAGATGATGGAGAATGTCCTTTCTAAAAGAATACAGAAAAGGTGCACCCAGATAAGCCCTAAATGTATACCCCACTGATATCAACAGGATTTATACCTAAGTTTAAAAGAACCATAGCAATTGTCTGATATACCACCTGTGACTTCAGAAGTCAAACTAGTCTAAAATTAACACAAGAGCCTTGTGGCATCTTCAAATTTAATACATTTATTGCAGTGTGCTTTTGAGGACTCCAATTTCATCAGATGCAAGAAACACAGGGTTTAGGGTGTGATCACAGATACTGCTGTTGAAGTGAAATGAAGCACAGAAAGTATTGACAGTGACTGTTTTGTTTCAAAAGTAGCACTGGACTCTTGTTGCACTTGCAGCACTTTCAGGAGTCAGTCATTTAATGAAAAGACATCAAAACAGCTATGGAGAACTGTGGAAATAAATCCATTTTTCCTCCTGGGGCAGGCAGAATTGTAAAAGCCCTGTTCCTGAAGAGCCACTTACAGCTCCTACCTGACTATTGTCATCAAAGTTGGTGCTTTGATTCTGAAAACACACACACTCTACATCTTTGTTCATAGTAAATTGTTTTCTCTCACACACACAAACCTTTCCCTCCCTGCATGTGCAAGCATCTCCACTTCAATGAAATGGTGTACACTTAATAAAATCTGCTTTCTGGTCACCTAACATTTTTCTTCCAGTTCTTATTGCCTTTCAATAAACATACCAGTATTTGTGTCCCCCATATACTCCAATAAGAGCCCTAATTGACAGCTACACCATGGTCTTTTCCACAGATTGCATTCAGCAGTGAGTGTGTGTGTGTGTGTATGTATGTATATGTGTGTATATATATATATACACACACACATACATACACATACACACACCTCCTGCAATCATACAGTACAAAAAGCAACCATAGTGGTATAAAAGGGCAATCAAACACAAAAAGCCTTGAGCTAAATCATCTTGAGTGCTGCTGTTGTTATAGTATACTCTCAAGTTGCTTCTTGCCAGCATATATTTGTTCAGAAGGGCTTTGCCATTCTCTGAGGCTAAGATAATGTGACTTGTCCAGTGGCTTTCCATGGCAGAAATGGGATTTGAACCCTGTTCTTCTTCAGAAGTGTAGTCCAATGCTCAAACTACCACACTGGCAGTCAATTCATTACTTTGGTAAGCCCTAGTGATTTCAATGGGTCAACCTATTTGGGACAAAAAGTGGATTTAACACTCTAGTCTCTCTTTTCTAAAGATTAGGAAAAAAGATTTTCAGAGTTCCCTCAAGGGCCCCTCCACCCAAGGTAATGTCACAACAGCATTCATAAAATGACTAAACAAGAAGAAACCAGCTGGGAAGGACTGATTAAAAGGGGGGCGTGGAAGCAGTGGAGAGGGCAAGGGTGGTGAGGAGAAGAAAATAAGTGTCCTTGTTTTGCTCCTTGAGGAGTACCCAAATCATATTCTTCATCTTATTCCTACCCTGATTTCTCTCTAAAAAGGGACCCAATTTTTTTATGTCTCTAAAGTTCCCAAGGAGAGCAGTTCCAATCCTTTCTTTGCCCACTTCCCAAACAGAAGGCACAGGAAAGCCAGGGCCGAGCACAGCAGCATGCCCAGTAAGAATAACACACATTCCACAATGAGGGAGTTTTTTCACTTCCAAACACTAGTCTTCTAGTGAGAGATTCATAGAGCCATTTCTCTTGTGGGAAAGCATTTAATTCATCCAATTGAACTAAAAGCAACACAACAAAAAACAAAAACATTGGCACACTCCCTGTGTGACCCTGTCCCTCCCCTCAAGATTAAAAGTTGCCAAACCTGGAACTTCTATTTGGTAGACAACACAGGGCCCTTCCACACAGCCATATATCCCAGAATACCAAGACAGAAAACCCCACAATATCAGCTTTGAACTGGGTTATCTGAGTCCACACTGCCATATAGCAGAAAATGTGGGATTTTATTCAGCTGTGTGGAAGGGGCCATATGTTATCTAATTTAGTGTACTACTTGGTTGTCTTCTACAACTCTGGGTAAGGAGTTGGTTCCTACTCTGTTTTTTTCACTTCCATGTCTTTAATTTAGTTTGTTTGTTTTATTTGATTTTTCACTTTTCTTTGTTTGACAACGGAGGGATGTTTGCATACCATACAACAAATAAGGGGAAAGATAATGTTATTTTAAATATCTTTAGAAAGAGAAGAATGCGCAACTCCTATCCAAAATCTTTGTACATGAAAACTTACAGTATTTCTGTAAGCATTCCAACCTCTTCAGATGACATATGAAGATACAGAGTGAAGAGGGGGCAGCCAGGAAGACGCAGCTCCATCCTGCCTCCTGCAACATCACTTGGGATGTTATCATTTAACTTTTGAGAATGTGTCATTTTTTTGTTGTTTTTGGGATCTGGGTGGGGTGGTTATTTTGTCCTGGTCCAGTTTCTTTATGGCATTGAATGTTTGCTGATATTTGTTGTAAACCGACTGAGTTGTTTATTATTATTATTATTATTATTATTATTATTATTATTATTATTATGTGCAGAAGAGGCAAAAGCCAAACCTGAGACAACAAGAGCAGCATGACCTGAGAAACCTCCCTGGACTCTTTGGTCCCTTTAAGGAATAATTGAGCTTGGTGTTTAAAAGGGCTCAGCCCTGGTGAGTAGTTGGATAGGATCTCAAATTGGGGGGGGGGGGGGTTCTAATTCAGAGGAAGGGACAGGCCAAATCCAGCTCGCTGAGGAAAGTCCTGGAAATGCATGCCGGGGTTCGCCATAAGTGGTTTTGAAAGCACATGGGCACACACAAGGGCCCATTCTCTGGCGTCCTCCAAAAGCCATGGGGCGGGAGGGAAAAGAGGAGAAGGGGTGGGCATTTGGGATGTCAGAACCCCCTCCAGGCCCTCGGGCTCCTTTTGAAACCTGCAAGTGGGCAACAAACTCCACACACCCCTTTCCCCCGATCGTCACAACGCCCCGCAGAGCCAGTGTCTCTATCATCTCAATGGAGATGCGAGAGGAGAAAAGGGAAGAGGGGGGTGAAAGAAAAGAGACCGAGAAGGAAGAAGCGCTGTGGCAAAAGTTCAAACGCGGCTGGGGAAAGGGAAGGAGGGTCTCCCCCCCCCCCCGCTCCCTTCGTTCCTTCTCGCTCGGCAGGGAGGGAAGGAAGGGGGTGTGAGAAGAAGCCCTTTGCCCTGGCATCTCGCGGATCTCGCTCTAAAAGAAGTCCTGGCATCTATACCGGATTTGGGTGGGCGTGTGAATCCCTTTAAGTATCGTCTTGAAGGGGGGAGAGGTTCCCTCGCCTTGGCGTTTCTACGGATTTGGGGGCGGGGGGAACATCCCTTCGTAGACCGCAATCAAAAGGAAACCAGGGAGGGGGGAGCTGGGTTGCTTTTTTCGTTGCCCTGGCATTCCTGCGGAATTGCTTACTTAAATATCGCCCCCGTCGCCTTGGCATTTCAGGAAAGGTGTGCGCCTTCTCCCTTTAAGAGACCCCAATCCCTTGCTAGCATCTCTACAGATTGGGGAGGGGGGGTGTATGTGTATAGTCCCTTTATTATATGGATCGCCTGCCGAAAGACACAGGGGTTCCCTTGGGCTTCTTCGACACTATGATCAAAGCAGATCCTCCACTGGAACGGGATGAGAGAAGTCCACACTGCAATATAACCAAGCTCAAAGCAGATATTGTGTGTTTTGGATGGCAGTGTAGAAGCTCTTTCATCCCTACGGATTTGGAAGGGGTGTCGTCTCCTTCCAAAGAGACTGATCTTTTTCTTCCCCCCAATTGCCACTGAAGAAAGGGTGAGACTCTCGTTTGTTTGCCCCAAAACGGAGCTCAAACACATACAAATCACACCCTCTCCGCCCTTTTTCCTCGGAGTCCCATTCCCCTGCAGCAGTCCCTTCGCGAGGGGCTGCCAAGTTGCCACCTTTCCGCCTTCCTGCTGGGGATTGTGAAGGGCTGCGAGGGGCGAACTTCTCTCCGCAAAGCCCCCGTTCTCCTTTGTGCGTGGCTCTGTGGAGAAACTCCCTCCGAGGTCCTTTCCCTCACCCACCCACCCACCCACCCACCCACCGACCGACGGACGGAGGGGAGGCTTACCTTTTGAATGGCATGCTTGCTCCTCTCCTGCCAGGGCCGGCTCTGGCTCTTCCTCTTCCTCCGCCCCGGTGTCTCCCTCCTGGCTGCCCGCCGCCGGTGCCTTTATTATACCCGCGCCTCCCGCATCTCACCGCCTTCCTCGCGGCGCCATCTTGCCCGTCCGTGACGTCGCCGCGCTTCTCACCCCTGACCCACATTTGAATAGGAGCCAAGAAGGGGCGGAGGGGGGGGGGTCTGCCCGAGGAGAAGAAGAGCCCGAGGGGGCGTGGCTTGAAGCGCCCTCGGCGTCTTGGGCCACGCCCCCTCTCGCCTCTGCTCCTTTTGGCCCCTCCCTTTCTAGCCAAGGAGGGTGGCTGGGACCCCTCTCCCAGGGCCCGTCTATACAGCCACAGAACCCAGAATGTCAAGGCAGATCATCCACACTATCTGCTTTGGACTGGGTTATCTGAGTCCACACTGCCATATAATCCAATTCAAAGCAGATAACCAGAAATGAGATCCTGGGATATTGGGTAGTGTAGAAGGGGCTACTACGGTCCTTGCCACACAGTCATATCAACCAAATATCACAGTATCTGTTTGGGACTGGGATGTCTGAGCGCCCTTCCCCATAGTCCTATATCCCAGAATATCTGCTTTGAACTGGGTTTTCTGAGTCCACACTGCCATATATCCCAGTTCAAAGCAGATAATGTGGGATTTTCTGCCTTGATGTTCTAGGATAGAAGGCTGTGTGGAATCCCACGTTATCTGCTTTGAACTGGGTTATATGGCAGTGTGGACTTTTCCAGACAGGCCCTATATACCAGGATCTGATCCCAGGTTTTCTGTTTATCCCAGATTATCTGGCAGTGGAGACTGTCCGCTTCTACATGGCTGAATATAATCCCGCATTTTCTTCTTTGGACTGGGTTATATGGCAGTGTGGATTCAGATAACCCAGAGCATTTACACACAGCCAAATAACCCGGGGTATCAACGCAGAACAACCCACAAGATCTGCTTTGAAATAATAGAATCAAAGAGTTGGAAGAGCCATCCAGTCCAACCCCCTGCCAAGAAGCAGGAATATTACATTCAAAGCACCCCCGACAGATATGCTTCCAGCCTCTGTTTAAAAGCTTCCAAAGAAGCAGCCTCCACCACACTCCGGGGCAGAGAGTTCCACTGCTGAACGGCTCTCACAGTCAGGAAGTTCTTCCTCGTGTTCAGATGGAATCTCCTCTCTTGTAGTTTGAAGCCATTGTTCCGCGTCCTAGTCTCCAGGGAAGCAGAAAACAAGCTTGCTCCCTCCTCCCTGTGGCTTCCTCTCACATATTTATACATGGCTATCATATCCCCTCTCAGCCTTCTCTTCTTCGGGCTAAACATGCCCAGCGCCTTAAGCCGCTCCTCATAGGGCTTGTTCTCCAGACCCTTAATCATTTTAGTCGTCCTCTGACCGCCCTTCCACACAGCCCTATATACCAGAATATCTAGGCAGAAAATCCCACAATATCCGAGTGTGGATTCAGATAACCCAGTTCAAAGCAGATATTGTAGGATTTTCTGCCTTGAGATTCTGGGATATAGGGCTGTGTGGAAGGGCCCAGAGATAACGCGGGATACAAAAGAATAGCCACCTCCTCCCTCCTTCTATTTTCTCCAACCCCTTTTCACCCCTTCAGGCTGTTTTCCCGCCTTTTTTGTTTGAGGGGAAATCGCCTCAGGAGGTCGATCAAAGTTCTTTCGCTCGGGACCTTGAGGGAGGGGCGGGTTTTGTTTGGGGTTTTTGCGCCCCTCAGTCAGGCACCTTCGCGCGAAGGCTAGTTTTGCCCCCTTAAGCCCGAGGGGGGAAAAACCACCCCAAACCTCTCAGGAGGGAGAGAAAAGTCTTCTCACTCGAGGAAAAGGCGCGCATCCTGTCGGGAGGTAAAGCCCGTTGCTTTCCGTCGGGCTTTGCTCCAGAGTGAGGGCTTGCCTGCCTTCCCATGGTTTTCCATGACATTGCATGAGGGAGTCTCGTTGCTTTCCATGGGGGGAGTATCTCCACCTCCCTTTGGAGGGAATCGCTGCTTTCCATAGGGTTGCATGATGGAATCTCATTGCTTTCCATGGCATTGCATGAGCTAATCTCATCGGTTTCCATAGGGGGAGTATCGCCTACCTTTGGGGTGAATCTCGTTGCTTTCCATGGGGTTGCACGAGGGAATCTCATTGCTTTCCACGGGGGAGTATCTCCCCCTCCTTTTGGAGGGAATCTCATTGCTTTTCGTGGGGTTGCATGAGCGAATCTCATTACTTTCTATGGGGTTGCATAAATGAATCTCATTGCTTCCCATTACGTTTCATGAGGGCATCTCATTGCTTCCCATGGGGTAGCATGAGCGAATCTCATTGCTTTCCATTGAATTGCATGAGGAAATCTCATTGCTTCCCATGGGGTAGCATGAGCGAATCTCATTGCTTTCCATTGAATTGCATGAGGAAATCTCATTGCTTCCCATGGGTTTGCGTGAGGGAACAATTGCTTTACACGGTTGTAGTAGCTCCCCTCCCTTTGGAGTGACTCTCATTGCTTTCCATGCGGAGTATCCCCATTTCTTTGAAACTAATCTCGTTGCTTTCCATGGGATGCATGAGGGAATAATTGCTTTCTATGGGGTTGCATTAGGGAATCTAATTGCTTTTCATGGTATTGCATGAGGGAATCTCATTGCTTTCCATGGGGTTAAATGAGAGACTCTCACACTGAATTGCATGTGGGAATCTCATTGCTTTCCATGAGAGAATCCATGAGTGTAGTAGCTCCCCCTCCCTTTGGAGAGAATCTCATTGCTTTCCTTGGGGGAATATTCCTCCGTCCTTTGAAATGAATGTCGTTGCTTTCCATGGGGTTGCATAGGGAAATCTCATTGTTTTCCATTGAATTGCATGTGGGAATCTCAATGCTTTCCATGGTATTCCATGAGAGAATCTCTTTGCTTTCCATGGGTGCAGTAGCACCCCCTCCCTTTGGAGTGAATCTCATTTCTTTCCATGGGGTTACTTTCCATGATATTGCATGAGGGAATCTCATTGCTTTCCATAGGGGAGTATCCACTTCCTTTATGTTGCTTTCAATAGGACTTACTCCCTATGTGTCCCTCAGAGTAAATCCTATTGGCTACCATGGGTTTTACATCACAGCAAGTGAGTGTGCTCCACTTAGCAGGGAGTCAAGACCATTGCTTTCAATGGGGTTCGCTCCAAAGGGAGTGGGGTAACCCCCTGGGAGTCAGCCTTATTGCCTTCCATGGGGTTCACAAGCCACTGAGCACAGCAATCGATCCCATTGTGTTCAGTGGGGCTTGCTCCAAAGGGATGCATGCACCAATACTTTGGAGTACATCTTATTGCTTTCAATGGGCTGGCTCCCAAATAAGTGGATGTCTGCTCCTTGGAGTAAATCCTATTGCTTTCAGTGGGGCTTCCTTCAAAGTAAATGAAACAATAGCGTGTACCAAAGGGGTACACCCTATTGCTTTCAATGGGGCTTGCACTAAATGGATTGGGCTTGTTCCACTGACTTGGGAGGACATCCCTTTGCCTTCCAACTGGTTTCCTCAAAAGCAAATGGGTATAAAGCAAATTGGTTTACTTTGAATAACTCCTCTTGGGGCCCTTCCACACAAATGAATAAAATCACACATTATCTGCTTTGAACTGGAATATATGGCAGTGTGGACTCAGATAAACCAGTTCAAAGCAGATATTGTGGGATTATCTGCCATGGTAGACAACACATAGGGCCCTTCCACACAGCCATATATCCCAGAATATCAAGGCAGAAAATCCCACATTATCTGAGTGTGGACTCAGATAACCCAGTTCAAAGCAGATGTTGTGGGATTTTCTGCCTTGATATTCTGGGATATAGGGCTGTGTGGAAGGGCCCTTGTTTCCCCTCAACCTGACTCCAAAACCAGTGGTTGTGCTCACTATACCTAGGAGCACATCGTATTGTTTTCAATGAGAGTAGCTGGATGCTCCCTTTAAGTTAAATGGGCTGTGCTTCCTTTAAATCCCACTAAAGTCCATGGAATTACTTCTCAGTAGCTTCCTTTGGGTTACCAAAAATGGAAGGAAAAGTTTCAGCCACCAAGTTATCCCAGAGTTTAGGACCTTGTTTTGGATTTGTTTTTCAAATGTAGGAAAGGCCTCTCTTTGCATCTATGAACATCATGAGATCTCTTGGAGATGGGACCCAAGTCTGAACAGGAAATTTGTTTATGTTCCATATAAACAGAGCTTGAAGCTCATTTTAGACAATATATTCAGTTGTTTTTGTTTTTTAAAAAATATATTGAACCATTAGAAACCAACCCAAAACGGAAGTTTTGCATTGAAATCTGTCTTTGAATTTCATTTGTTCAAGGATGGACACACTGAAGACAGAGGAAGAGTTTTGAATCCTGCTCCTCTGAGCTGACCATTTGAATCCACTAGGGACAGGTAAGGCAACACTTCTGTAAATGCCAAAAGTATTCTAAGGTGGGAAGTGCCATTTCTCAAGGGGATCCTAGCTGAATTATTTTGACAATCTATAAGCAATATTTTTTTCTCTTGCATTTACCTTATTGATGGTAGAATATCTGAAAGTACAAGTTAGTTGTCATTGATGACCCCCACCCCTTTGGTTCATTAGGTGGTATTCTATATCTAAGTAACTCTTGACATCACTTCTTGCTATAAATGCAGTCAATAAATAATCCTCAATCTGTGAGTCTCTGCGTCACTTTACACAAGGATTGCGGAATGTATCATCTTCCAGATATTATGGGCTTTCAGCAACCATCAGCCCCATCTGCATGGTTCATGCTCAAGGGTGATAGCGATTGTACTACAAAAATGTCAGGAGGATCACATTTCTCTTTGTGCCTTAAAAGCGAAATGTTTCGTTTGCAGTTCATATTATCCGGACTATCTTGTATGTAAACTTTGTTGAACACAGGGCCTTACTCTTGAGTAAATGGGCATAGGCATGCATTGCACTCTTCCATGGGTCAAAGGCCACATTAAGGTACTTCTTCTTCTTAGTTGGCAGTTATTTAAATACGTGCTTATTATATATACTAATGTTTTAACAGCAATTCTTCAAGTGTCGCTAAAACTTAAACCTTCTATACACCACAACTCCTATGTTTGTAGGTCTGAAAAATATAATTTTGAGGGATATGGAACCCCCTC